ATCACAGGAATAAATTATATTTTGAAGTATATTAAAATAGAAAACAGTTATTTTAAACTGTAGTTCTAAATTTTACAACATTACAGTTTTTCCTGTATTTTTGATCAAATTAATACAGTCTTGGTGAACATAAAAGTCTTCTTTCAAAAACGTTTAAAAAAATGTATATGTGTGTAAAAACAAAATTTACTCTAATAAAACTAAATTGACTCAAAAATCATTTCTTAGTCTTTTGAAAGGGCGAGACAGTGATGGCTTCCTGGTATTCCAGGAGAAGTTCATTCGGGAGTGCATTAGGAAATTTCCATACTGTGATGCCACATTACTGCAGCAGCTGGTCCGGAGTATCGCTCCAGTGGAAATTGTGAGTATGAGTTACATTGACCTCTATTTGCTCATGTAGAAGATACTGGAAGTGTAATAAAATAATAGAATCATAGCCTCAACTAGAAAGACTGAACCACATTCTGTGTATGGGAGCCTCACCAGTCCTGTTCCATCAGGGAAGTGACCCCACTGCTCTGTCAGTGCTCACGCAGGCCATCACAGGACAGGTGGGTTTCATGGACGCAGACTTCTGTGCAACCTGTGGTGAGAAAGGAGCAGAGAAAAGATGCTCCATCTGCAAAATGGTAAGTATCAGGTTTTGTCTTTTGACTTCTGCACTTATTCCGTAATAGAAAAAGTGTCAGTTGGTTTGCTGAGTTGCTTTCTTAAATCTGTGCATTTCTTCAGGTGATCTACTGTGACCAGGCCTGTCAGAAGCTGCACTGGTTTAGCCATAAAAAGGTCTGTAAGATGTTACAGGAGCAGAGAGAGAAACACGAATCTGAGTCTGCATCACGACTACAGAAACAGGCCAAAGGTATTCAAACCCAATTAGTTTTGCATTACTATGTCGTTTATGAGAAGTATCACGGTATTATCGTGTTTTTTGGGCATCGTACCATGGCAACACATTGGCCTTGACGTGTTCTTTGGGAATGCCCCATATTTCCTTTTAAGTAATTTGTTTCAAGAATCATGCCACAATGTTCATGATGTATGTTTTTGATTCACTAAAAAGAATCAAATGATGAAAATCATTTGCTTTGAGAATCAAGTTACACTGTTCGTGCTGTATATTTTTGATTCACTTTTTTGTTGTCACACTTAAACTAATAATAGGCATAGAGTAAAAGAGAAGATTTGAGATTACAAATATTGGGATCATTCAACTAAAGTATTGGAATACATATTTAGAAAGAAAAAAAAGAAAAAAAAATATTAGTGCTGTCAAACGCATTCAAAATTTTTGTTTACATAACATGTGAGTGTACCGTTTATATTTATTATGCATATATAAATACACACGCATGTATATGTTTAAGAAAAATATGTTGTTTATATATTAAATAT